TAATATATATATATATATATATATATATATATATATATATATATATATATATATATATATATATATATATATATAAACATACAATACTGTCCAAAAGAAAATTGATGTTTAAATTGGTGTAAAACTGATATGCCTGTCAAAGTTTGTTACTTTAGCCATTTCAAAACCTCTGCTAAAATCACACCTACTAACAAGATGTAACTTCTAGTTTTTATTGTGTTACTCCTAATATGTATATGTCCTAATATCATATTTGTTTTTCATTGAAGCATTTCTTTTGACTGCCTATAGGACTTAACACACTACTGCATGTGTGTGTGCGCGCACATACACACGTATATATGCACAATCATGCTTTGAATTTGGTTTACAAATATTTTTGACCATTAAACTATATTCACTTTACCTGCGAAAAGAAAGGTTTTCATTTACAGTTAGTGGAACTGAATTTAGCGGAAGCTAATTAATCCGCTAACGGTTTTCAGGGGCACATCGGCAATTTCAGTCCGCCAAGGAAAAAGCTAGTTTAGCTAATTAGCAGATTAGAAGAACCCTGCCAAGCACTGCTATTGATGCTGTTGGGTCATATGAAACGGGCTGGCCCCTCAAACGAAACACAGAATAAATAATTCTGCATTGAAGGAGATGGGAAAACTTTCTGCCAGTCGATGTCAGAAACTGGTAGATGTTCGTAGTATACGTCTCATTGAGGTTATATCAGTGAAAGGAAGGAATACTAGTTACCAGGGTATAGAATTTAGTGATTAATTGTCATTGTTAGCACAACAAAATGTGTTTTCTGCATTTAACCCATGTGTGACATAGTAGGGGGCAGCTCATTCAGCGCCCGGTGAGCAGTGCTTGGGGGCAGTACCTTGCTCAGGGTACCTCAGTGGCGTCTTGCTGATCAGGGATTCAAACCTGCAATCTTTCAATTACAAGTGCACTTCCCTAACCATTAAAGAGCTCCCTCTCCCCAGCTACCTCTACCAGCTCCTCGGGGGGGATGCCGAGGCGTTCCCAGGCCAGCCAAGAGATATAATCCCTCCAGCGTAGGGATTATATCTCTTCCCTCACCTGCCGCAACTCCAGAAGAAAAGAGCGTCCAGCCCCTCTCCAGGAGATTGGTTCCAGAACCCACGCTATGTGTTGAGGTGAGCCCGACTATATCTAGTGGATATCTCTCAACCTCACGCACAAGCTCAGGCTCCTTCCCCACCAGAGAGGTGACATTCCATGTCCCAAGTGACAGCCTTCGTTGTTTAATGTTCCTTTTACCCTGTACAAATTTCCCACTTTACCTGCACCAAAGCCCCCCCAGACCATTACATGTCCTCTGTCATGCTTGACGCTTGGTGTTAGGCAGTTCATCTTTCAATTTGTTCTCTGCCTCACACATGTCCATCCGTGTGACCGAAATACCTCTAACTTAGACTCCTCTGTCCATAACACCTCGCATCATCTTTGGTCCAATGTCTGTGTTCTGTTGCCCATTTTAATGCTTTCCTTTTATTAGCCAGTCTCACAGCTTTTTCTTCACAACGCCGCCTATTGGGCAAGCTTCCCAGAGACACTTCTTTATTGTTAAAGAAGAGATTGGTGTTTAATGGGTACTTTTTAACAAAGCTCATTCTTTTTGACCATTTTGAGCCAAAAATTGATCCCACCAATGCTCATGCTACTGACACGTAACAGCCCAAAGAAGACTGGTTTTACGGTTTCCTCAAACAGCACAATAGATTTCACCTGTGCTAATATATTTGCACAATGGTTTTCAAATGAAGAATTAGCCTTTTAACATAACGTAGGATTAGCTCACACAACTTACAGTGTCACTGGTACACAGGAGTGATGGTTGCTGAAAATTCCCCTTTGTATGCCTATATAGATATTCACTAAAAATCATGTTCTTGCAGTGGTATCATTGTCATCTACAACAATACCAATGTCTAGACTGTCTTAGTATTAGTAGAATGTTATTTTGAAGCAAATTTGAAACAAAATTTCTTTCCAACACCAGAAAAATTCTCAGTGATTCCAAAATTTGAGTGTGTGTGTGTGTGGTTGTGTGTGTGTGTGTAATGCACATCCTTTTGCATTACTTTGTGTGGTGTAAAAGCGCCCTTAGTCTTCAGGTTCCATTATCATTGTTGTTGTTGTCTTTGTCGTCGTTATTATATATAGTAGTTTAGTTGATATGTACAGTGACAACACTGATTCTATTCTATCCATTGAAGAGCGGGGGGCGGAACTGAAATGTAGTGCTCGTATTTCATTATCCGGTGTCACAGTCGGACCATTCCCCCTACTTCGACTCAATACAACGCTGAACTTTTCAGTACGCAGTGTCTTTGGAGGACGAATGTGATAGTATATTAATATTAATATTTTATTTTATTATTAAACCGTCATGTTGGTAGCCTCGGTACATTATCCATTGTTTGGGCAGCCCCTCAGCAGATCTAATGTGAATCGAAAGGAATAATGTTTTTCCTCCTAGCAGCGAAGCAGAAAGTTGCGGCTGCCGCCTTGTCTCTACGGAATGCTGGACGGAGACGGCGGCTGCTGGATGCGGCGGCGACGACGGTGGAGCGCTGCGCTCGGCGAAACGCTGCGTATGTGCAAGGCCAGGCCCCCGAGCCCCACCTACGGGAGTACTTCTACTACATCGACCACCAGGGACAGGTGACACTGCTGGATTTTTCTGACCTAAAAATGCTTGTCCTGACACTTATCATTGAGTCCTCATGTGCTTGCGTTGCAGCTTTACTGATGTCATTTTTTTGCCAGCTCTTCCTAGATGACACTAAAGTGAAGAACTTCATCACTTGTTTCAAAGGTCAGTTGCGCTGAAAGTAGCAGACTTTCCAAAACACTTATTATGAAACACTTACTCCCATTATACTAATATGGTTGTGCCATATTGTTACTGCATGCAGAGCACAGTTGTGGGTGAAGCGTTTCTTTTTATCTTATGCAGAGGAAAAAGTTTAACGGACAGTACAAATTTTATTATACATTATTCCTTGGACTACGCATTCAGTCTTTTCATAGTAGATTGCATTTATGATCTGAGAATTGAGAAAAGCATTTGGTCGTGCTTGGTCCTTGTTTTGGTTTGTCATTTGCGGTGAGGCAACGATATGGCATAACTACATAGGCCATATATATATAGTTTAGTATTCGTGAAGTAGATTTGGTGCTTGTAGGTGTATGTCTAGTGACATTTATATAATGCTAAGCCTTTTCCTTTTAATGGGTCCTTATGGAGATCGCTAAGCATTAAGCGCTTTATAATGTTCCCGGAAGTAGCTGCTGGGTGCTTCAGCGCCCCCTCTTGTCCGTTTCGTCGAAGAAGAACTTAATAGCATTATGTTAGTTATCTCGCAACGGCTCAGAGGCGACTTTCATTATTTGTCCAAAAAGAGTAGCTGTTGATAACTACCGACGATACAAAAGAACTTCAGTGATGTTTACTCATTTTCTACTTTCAGCACCCGAGCTGAAAACGTCTTCCCGTGCCTATGTCAGACGAAGCCGTTTCAGTTTGATGATGTTATAGCTTCTCTGCACCCACACATGGACCTTATTTACACTGTCACTCCTTTGATGGCTCCATGCACATCGACAGGTTTTTCATAATTATTATCTGAGCATAGATGTTCTAATTATGAGAAGTCGGCACTCTTTTGTCTTACGTGCAGATAAACAGTTCTTGGTCTTCTTCTTCACCCGTCTGCGGCCCAACGAAACCGGCCGCTATCAGGATCAGTTTCCCTTCCTGGCTCTGTGTGGGAGGGAGAGGAACTTCCTGCGCTGTGATGACAGGCCCCTGGTGTTCACCCACATGTTGCCGGGGGTGGGGCTTGGTGATGGGGGCGGTGCCTCTGAGATGCTTTCATTCTGTGGGGGTGGGGATAAGCTGACTGCGCCATTCCGCCCAGAAGCTCTGTTCATGCATCCGCGCACGGGGCGGCTCTACCACCCCTGTGCCAATCGGGCAGGGTCAGTAGGGCTGGTGCGCTCTGCCCTGGCCTTCGAGCTCAGCCCCCACTTTGAATACCCCCCCGATCAGCCCCATGGTGGGCAACCCACCCACTTCCTGTGGGCAGGAGAGCGGCATTCTCTGACCAATGAGCTGGCCAGACATTTTCCTGAGGACGAAGAGGAGCTAACTGGGACTAATTGAGCTAATTTAGATTGCAATCACCAGGCTAATTTTTCTTTTGTGGATTGAGATCCAGGCATTTACCGGATTTGTGGTAAAACTGATGAAATATGCAGTACAGTGTTTGCTATTGATTGTTTGTTTTCATAAAACAGTAAATGACATTTATATTGTCCTTAATTCTAATTTATGGTCTCAATATTTTTAATATTTATTAGAGATAGGTATAACGGGCATTTGTGTGCATCTAAAAGGACAGTATAAGATTCAGTGCTGGGGAGTATTCAGTGATTTCTCAGTTAGTTGGATTAGAAGTTTTTTGATTGTCCAATAGGAATGCTCCTGACCTAAACTCTTATTGCACAAGCATGACTTTTAGCTTAAGTCAGCACACTAACTGTGAAATGCTGCTTCATGGAACAGCCCCTTGGTATGGTAAAACTTTGTTCTGGTGTCAGAGTGCCCTCTAGTGGGCAGTCAGAATTAAACGAATACTTGATATCCAATCCTTGAACTAGTGTAATAGGTTTTTTTCCCCCGGGGTGCAAGGTGAGACAGCCCAACCAGTCATTCATGCAGATAAGTGAATTTGTAAAATAAATTTAAGATAAATTATCATTGCACGTTGATATAACTAAACAAGCCACATTTTCAAATATAACAGTACAATATCATTTATTTAATTTTATTGAACTTGATATGTTCAAATGGCATTTTCATCTGACCAATAGGGGGTGCAATTGCAGTAAAATCGCCATGAGTGTAAGAAAAATGTATTCATTGTCAATAAACTGTATACACAGTCACACAGTGTTCTATGTATTTGTAGTTGGATGCTCCTATCCCAGTAAAGTTATAAGGCCCACACAGGCCATTAGTACAGGCAAATAGCTCCTGTATGTTATGTTATGTTATATTAAGTGCCCCTTTCTAGAGTCTTACCTGCTCACTAGATAGTGACTTTGTATCCCTGTGCACTTTTTCACGTTCTGGTTTACAGACATTGAAGAAATCAGTCAGAACCTCCATGATCCATTTCCCATTCAGTGGGGCAACACATTAATTGTCTCAATGCTGCAAAATACAAAGAAAAACAACAAAAAAAAATAATAGCACAGTAGCTACTACTAGGTAGCATATGAAATATATCTACCACAGATTAAAAAAAATGTGAAAAAGAAAATAAAAGTAGTTACTAGCATAAAATATGCAAAATGTACAAAGTTAACAAAAATGCAGAGAATGTAAAGGCGAGAGCTGTCTGAGGAGCTCAGAAAGAAAATTATAGATAACCATGTTAAAGGTAAAGGCTATAAGACCATCTCCAAGCAGCTTCATGTTCCTGTGATCACAGTTACAAATATTATTAAAAAGTATAAGGTTCATGGGACTGTAGCCAACCTCCCAGGATGTGGACGCAAGAGGAAATGCAACCCCGGGTTGATCAGAAGGATAGTGTGGATGGTAGAAAAAGAGCCAAGGAAACCATCCAAATCCATTGGCATTCTGAACAATAATGGGCTCTATGGAAGAAGACTCAGGAGGGCTCCACTATTGACAGAAAAACATTAAAAAACCAGAGTGGAATTTGCCAAAATGCATGTTGACAAGCCCCAAAGTTTCTGGAAGAAAATGACAGAATGTCCTCTGGACTGATCAGACAAAACTGGAGCTTTTTGGCAGTCAAATCAGCTCTATGTTTACAGAAGGAAAAATGAAGCTTTAAAAGAAAAGATCACCATACCTACTGTGAAACATGGAGGGGGCTCGGTTTTGATTTGGGGCTGCTTTGCTGCATCTGGCACAGGGAACCTTGAATCTCTGCAGGGCACAATGAAGTCTCAAGACTACCAAGGCATCCTGGAGCGAAACACCTCCCAGTGTCAGAAAGCTCAGCCTCAGTTGCAGGTCATGGGTCATCCAACAGGATAATGACCCGAAACATTCAGCTAAAAGCACTGAAGAATGGCTGAGAAAAAAACATTGGACTATTCTTAAATGGCTCTCCATAAGCCCAGATCTTAATCCTATTGAACATCTATGGAAAGATCTGAAAATTGCAGTATGGAGATGCCACCCTTCAAACCTGAGACAGCTTGAGCAGTTTGCTCAGGAAGAGTGGAATAAACTACCTGTTGGCAAATGCAGACGTCTCATTGTGAAGTACAGAGATCGCTTGTTGGCAGTGATTGCTGCCAAAGGTGGTACCACAAAATATTAAATTAAGGGTACCATCTTTTTTGTCTGTGCCATTTTCATTTGTCTCTCGCCTGGCCTGGGAACGCCTCGGGATTCCCCCAGAGGAGCTGGAGGAAGTGGCCGGGGAGAGGGAAGTCTGGGTTTCCCTGCTGAGACTGTTGCCCCCGCGACCCGACCTCGGATAAGCGGAAGTAAATGGATGGATGGATGGATGGATGGATTGATGATTATATAAAACATTCAACTGAATCAAAAGCAAAGTCTGATTTGTGTTAAACATGGAATAAACAATAAGGGATGCCATTAAACTTTTGTCAGTTTCAAGTTATTTCAGAGATAGTTGTGTTTTTTTCTTTTTCTGTGGATGGGTACCAACAAATTTATCCACGTCTGTATGTGTGTGTATATATATATATGTTTGGAATGGAATATGTAGTGTTTAAAAATACACACACAACATACAACCCAGGCACTAGAAGAGGAACAGACATGCAATATACACACAGGTCAGGTACACGCCAGCGAGCACGCATGTATATACATGCATTAATTCATACATGTTCATGTTTATATGTGAGCTTATTGCCCTGGCTGTGTTGCATTTATCACGCCTTCCACATGGTGGCAGTGTCAGCACGGGTCTTCACTGAGCTTGTGGCGTTCCAAAAAGACCTGCTGTGACAGTGCCTGCTTTCCAGCTGAGAGGGAGCGATCACAGAACATCTGGACGTGATCTTCTGATACGCCTAAATAAAGCAAAATACCTAAGAGCCGAAGATTCACCTTCTAAGCATCGGCTCTGATACTATTAGCCTCATGTAAATTATATCTTACTATCTTACACTGTCATGTAATAATCTAGTAAAAATGACAGACCATTTGAACCTCAGGGAACCATTAATCCTGTTATTAATCTTTAAGCCAAGTGGTACAATTTGCTTTACAACCTGACAATTTTCATTATTAAGATTCATAATTTATACATAATTTTCTGTGTAAATGATGTCACAAATGAATCATTTAATGACCAGTTTTCATTTTTATAAGACAGGTTTACTTTTGCTACAGAGTTGTCCTGTTTTTCATACCCTGATGTTTCGGTGAATGTTTAAATGCAGCAATAAAATGAGAAGAGTACACACTGCAAACTCCTTTTGAACGCGATCTTTAGTAGAATTCAGTTTAGTGCTGTGCTGTGAATCGGGTTTCTAGTTTAGAGGCTCTTTCTTCTCCCTGGTTCCTCTTTAATTCCTTGATCTTTAGCCAGAGAGTAAAAGCTCCAGACAAAGCAGATTTCAACGGAGGACTCCAGATGTGAACGCCGGCAAAACGTTGTCTCAGCTGCACTTAGATAACGCTGGTCGGTACTGATGAGAAAACAAGGCCTTTGAGGGCCTCATGGGGGGTGGGGGTTATCGTCCTGTCAGCGCGGTCTGAGCCGAAGGGAATTCGTAACAAAACGTGAGGTAAACCATTCAGGATCCGTTCAGTGATCTGATGTGGACGGGCATGCATTTCTCCATTCTGCATAAACACAAAGAGTACGACCAACAGGTTCTCCGGTCAGAGTTATGCAGAAAGCCAGCATGAAAACCTGAGGGCCTTATGAACAGGCTTCTTCTAAGGGTGTCCAGCCTCAGCCTTAGCGAAAGGGTATATGTAACAGTTTTATTACCCTGAAAATAGTATGCAATGTTTGCCTACTGCCCCTACGCGTTTGATGTAGCTAATTTTAGGTCTATAATATAGATTTGCCACAAGACTCTTTGCGTGAGAATCATGCCAGATATGTAACAACTGGCAACTTTGTAACTATTGGGGAGGTTCCCCCGGGGCACCCCTGCTGGTCTGAGAATGCCTTGGTATCCCCTTGGAGGAGTTGAAGGTGGTAGCAGTGGCGGGGGAGAGGGAGGTCTGGGCATCTCTGCTCAGAATTCTCTTCCCACAACCTGGACCAGCGTGAGTGGCAGAAAATTAATGAATGGATGGATGGTTTACCAGGTGCTGACCAGTCCTAAGAAATGCAACCAACATTACATTTCAATACTATAGGTAGCGTTATCCTTCAAAACGGTTATTATTTATTTCCTATATGTACCTTTAGTAATCTTGAACATATTAGCAGTGAGAATGTGCTTCATTTAATCAGCACTTCCAGGATTTTTTGTGATTTTTCTGTGTGATTACATCCCATCTCTACTTGCCTGTTCCCGGGTATGAAAACTGTTTTTCATTTTACGTTTAAATATCTCTATTGTTGCCCCACTCTGCTGCAGTTTATGTGTATGTTTTTCATGATGAAAATAATTAATGTAATTGTAACCATAATAAAGTCCTCTGGCAGAAGGAATGCTAGGCGTGATTGACAGTCTTCTAGCCAATCAAAATTATGCAAGTGCACTCTTCTGACCTTTCCCCGCCCTCAGTCTTTCCTTTATTCCTGCCCCCTCTTCTCCCCTGCTGCAGCTGACAGTGGGAGTGCTGTGTGCGGCCTGTGATTGGCCTCTCAGTGACCAGTAGGCTGGGGTTCCTGCACACGCCCAGCCGGGGGCATATGGACTTGATCAGGGATGGCTATGCGGTGATGTCACACACACACACTCCAGTGTATAGACACAGTGGTGATGGCTGAGAGACACACGTGTGAGCAAACCCGTCTAAGTTAACATGATTGGCGCTATGCCAAAGGAGCTAAAGTGAGTGTAGCAGCCCGGGAGGTGGAAAAGAACACAAGTAACGCAGAATATCATTCAAATCAAACATGGCGGAATTTCTAGAAACTAGATTTACCAAGTGAGTTGAATGGCCTCAGTAAACATTGAAAAAAGTGAAACTTAACCAGTAACATAAAAGACCTTTATTGTCATTATACTGTAGTACAACAATATTGTGTGGACATATCTGCTTGTGCAGCAGTTGTCAAAAACAATATGGACAATAGAAAAACACTAATGTAAGATTGACTGTAACAATGGGAATTGTACAAACTTCTTCCTACATTACATTGACTCTTGTCCTTTTCTGAAAGGCTTTAGTGTGTCCATGTAACTGCCCGGGAGTGCTGATGCTCTTACAGCTCTCGGCCACCAGGGCGGCCTGCACTAAGGTGGCAGTAAAATCAGACCGTGACCTACGTAATCAAAGATGGATTAAGTTGCTTATTACCTATGCAAAAGCTGAAAATGTTATCAGGGATGTTTTCAACCTACGCTGTCCTGACTTTAACTCAAGAAATTAAAAATACAATTAGGTCAGTTGCAGGAGAAGGCGTACCGCAGAGGGTCCACTGAGACAGGTTTTGGAAACTACTGGCTTAAATTGATAAGCCAGTGATCAAAAATGTGGGTCGCCGAGGCCCAAACGGGGGCTGGTTTTAACCTCGGCGGTGAGCAAGGCTCGGTGTCCCTGCGTGCGCTTCTGAAGGTGGCCCACTTGAGCACCAGTCACCCAAGATGCCCCTAGGTGTCGCAGTTTCTCCTCCGTAAGCTTTGCTTTCAATTTCTCCGGTTTTCCACTCCAGTTTTTTCCCCCTATTCCTTCGCTGTACTCCCTGCATCTTTCCTGTGATATACAATTCAGGAGGAAAAAAAATCCAGCTGATCTCTTT